TCTCACACACTCACACACACACACTCTCACACACACTCACACTCACTCTCACACACACACACTCACACACTCACTCTTTCACACACACACACACACTCACACACACACACACACACACACACACTCACACTCACACACGGATCAGCTCAGGTGTGTGTCCTTGCAGAACCTCCGAACGCTTTTCTCGAACCCTTTTGCACACACTTCTGTTTTATTCCCATTAATACTTCTGCTTGATAAAGCAGACGTTGATTGTTTGTTTTCATGCACATTTTAAAAGAATATCTCACCTAAAACCATTTGAAAATTGATAATTTTATTATATTATTTTCTTTCGTCAATGAAACAAACATGAAATGTTGAGCAGAATCTCCAAGCTGCTCTCGTCAATACAGTGCGATGGCGATTTACACGGTTCACTATATTCCACGTCTTCTGAAGTCACATGACATATGTCTTAAAGTAAATGAGTCATATGGACTATTGTTATAATTCTTATATTATGTTATAATATTTATAATACAGCCACAATCCCCATTATTTTACAGGAAAAAGAACATTTTGGACATTCTGCAAAATATCTCCTTTTGTTTTTTCAACAAAAAAGATGCATCTTTTTAATCTCAATTCTGACTTTTTCTGAGTTTACATCTCGCAGTTAATAACTCGCAATTGCAGTATATAAACTTTTGCAAGTCTGAGAAAAAGTCTGAATTGCATGATACAAAGGTAGTTGCAAATTATTATTTTTTTAAATCTTACAATTGACTTTTTTTCTCCAAAATTGCATTTTTGAGGAAATTCTGAGGGGAAAAAAGGTCAGAAAAATATTTAAATTGAGTTAAATTTTAACTTTTAATTTTAAGAGTTTATAACTCGCAATTGTGAGATATAAATCACAGTTCTGCGGAAAAAAAGTCAGAATTGCATGATATAAACTTTGCATTTACATCTCGCAATTCTGACCTTTTTTTCTCAGAATTGACATTTCACAATGAATATTGCAATTATGAGATATGATAATTTTGTTATATTTTTTAATGCTTGGCGGAAATAAGCTTCCATAGATTTAGAACAACTCAAGGATGAAATTATGACTGTTTTGATGATTTCTTTAATGGAGCAAAATGTAAAGGTACTGGGAAAAAAAATTCTGTATTACAGGATTTCAGCTCCTGAATTAATGTTCAGGTTTTTCCAGGTATCTCATGAATGGAGCCGAGTCCAGTTCGGAGAGTGAAGCAGAAGAGGATGAGAGCGAGGAGGAGACGCAGAAAGCGGTAACTGCTTTATATATGCTCACGTCTCAAGAAACATGCAAAACTGTCTTCCCTTCATTCGTGAATAAAAAGAGCATCATAACCTTGCGTGTTGTTGCCATAGAGACGACATCCTCAGATTTGTTGACTTCCTGTCACGCATCATCGACTCAAGCAGGAAGCACATTAACGCGAAACAACTGCATAAGCATTGATTTTCTCGTGCTTCTCTAGAAAACACCAGAAAAGAGGCAGCTGACCCCAAAAAAGCAGGCGATTAAGGAAGAAGAGGAGGAGTATGGAGGTTCAACGGATGCTGAAGATCCAGGTAAAGACTATAGAAATCGAGTATGCTTATCTTCACTTAAAAACATCTGTTGACTGCTTTCTAGAAATGCAACAGAATATTCACTTTCATTTCAACAAACCTGTAAAGCTCTTCCACACGAGTAGCTGAAGGATAACGAGTTTGTGAATCCTAGCTGAAGGATAACGAGTTGAACATTCTTGTGAAGGTTTACACCAGAGTTTATTATTATTTACTTAAATACTTTTATAGAGTTTAATAATATTTTAATTTTAGTTTCAGTAATTTTTGTCATTTTTATTAGTTTTAAATATTTCTATTTAGCTTTAATTCATATTTATATAATTCATATTCATATGTATGTATTTCAAGTTTAAGTATTAAAATAACTAAAATTATTTGAATTTTCATTTAAGTCGTTTTTTCATCTAATATTTATATTCTTTTAGTATTTCAATTAATTAGTTTTTTTTCTTCATTTTTATTAGTTTTTTTTATATTTCTATTTAGCTTAATTTATAAAAATAAAAAATATTTCAAGTTTAAGTACTAAAACTACTAAAACTGTTTTATTTTAATTAGTCGCCAAAGGAACATTTCTAATTTTCGTTTACATTTAAGTCATTTTTTTCATCTAATATTTATATTCTTTCAGCTTTTTTTTCAATTAATGAACATTTTTTATTTAAATTTTCAGTAATTTGATCTTTTTTTTGGTCGTTTTTATTTTTAAAGTATTTCTTTTTTGATTTAATTCATATGTATTTCAAGTTTAAGTACTAAAACGACTAAAACTTTCATTTTAGTTAGTCGCCAAAGGAACATTTCTAATTTTCGTTTACATTTAAGTCATTTTTTCATCTAATATTTATATTCTTTCAGCTTTTTTCAATTAATGAAATTTTTAAAATTTTAATTTTCAGTAATTTGATAATTATTTGCAATTTTTATTCATTTTTTAAATATTTCTATTTCGCTTTAATTCATATTTATTTCAAGTTTAAGTACTATTTTATTTTAGTTACCTGCTAAAGCAACATTTCTAATTTCCATTTACGTTTAAGTTGGTTTTTCGTCTAATATTTATATTTTTCAGCTTCATTTCAAATAATGAAAAATTTCAGCTTTTTCAATTAACGAAAAATTATTTTAGTTAACAATAATACACACAAATCGATAAAGCGGCACTGCAGCAAAACTGTTCTCCACTTTTGACATTAAAACCTAAACATGCACACGAGGCGTTGAAAAACCAGACAGGAAGCCGATAAAGTCGTTTACGTGCAGGTTGATAATCTAGTTGTTTTGCTTAAACGGCTTAAGCAGAATCAGTGTAAGATTATGCATTTAAACCGAAAAAATGTCCACAGCAAAGATCATTAATGGCCATTTTGAGCGATTTATTGATCATCACCTTCTGAAGCTGAACACATGCCAGAACAGGTAAGACTTGTCAACTGCGCTCAGGCCCTCATCGAAAATCGTTAGCATGTGAACCCGTTTGCCGTGGGGTCCCTTCACTCCGGCTGCGTGTCGCACGATTACGAGGCAGGACAGGAGAGGCCGGGTTAATGAAGTGCGCTCCAATCAATCAGGAAAGATAAAAAACATAACGAGCGGTTGGATTGGAGAGGCTGGAAGTGCTAGAGGCACTCGCCCGCAGCATTCGCACAGACGAGACTTGGGCATGTTTCTCATTTCTATGTAAATTGAGGGGCTGGAAGAGCAAACCTCGCTCTCCTGGATGTGTTCATGCAACTTAAAACCATTCAGAGGAAAACGATGAATCATTGTTTATGGACGCTGCTATTAGGGCTGAGCATTTATGCCGCAGGTTGATGTATTAGCACGACCATAAGTGGGCAGGTCTGGGACAAAGAAACATAGAATATTGCAGAAATAGAGACCGCCAGTGTTATTTTAGTATTATTGTTTTTATTAACATTAGTAAAAAAAAAAATTCTGTTTTAATTTAAATTTTAGTTAAAGTTTTTAAGTCATTTCCTTGTGTTTTTATACATTTTTTAAATATTTTATAAAAAAAATTATTTGTATAGTTTTTTTATTTTATTTTATTTTTTTATTTAGTTGTTTTAGTACATAAAATTAAACAAAATGAAAAACATCTTGACAACTAGCTATAATGATAGTTTAATTTAACATTTTTAAAGTAATTCAACTTGTGAACAATTTTTTTTTTGTTTGTTTTAACTATAATAACCCTGCCGTCAAAGGGAGGAAGCCGCATTAATGTTTATTTATTTATTTATGTTTTTTTTATATCTCAGAACTTATTTTATTAGATTTCATTAGATTTGCTTCACGTCTATCAAGATCCAAATAAAAGGAGAAAATAATCAAATGAGATAAAGCACCTTTCATTTGTAAGGCATTTTATTTTATGGACTATGCAAAATAGATTGCATGATTTATTTATGTGTTTTGTTACCTTTATATACTGTTTTGGACATAACCTCCACTCTCAGCGGATGACGGGTCTGGCATGGACACTGAAGATGAGCTGAACAGGTCAGACATTTATTGCTTTCTAAATACGTCGTCATTACATGTTGATCGACATTCTCATAAGGCTGGTAATTGTCCTTTGATGTTCCCTCTTTGTGCTCCTTTCCCAGTTGTCTTGAGAGTCTCATTATTCAGGCTCTTGAATAATGTCTAAATGCAGCTGAAGAAGAGTTATTTCAGATTGTGTTAATCAGATACAGTGCTCTCCTTCATTCAAAACATGCAATCCAGTCCTGTTTTTAAACCAGTAATTTTCCCTATGCTTGCGAAATTGCACAAAACTATAGATTTCATTTTTTCATTTTCATTCATTTTTTTAATGTTTTTGAAAAAGGTCTCTACAGGGCTGCGTTTACTTGATCAAAAATGCAGTAAAAATTGTGAAATATTATTACAGTTTAAAACAGCTGTTTTCTATGTGAATATCTGTTAAACTCAAATTTATTTCTGTGATCAAAGCTGTATTTTCAGCATCATTACTCCAGTCTTCAGTGTCACATGATCTTCAGAAATCATTCTAATAATGCAGTAAAAATTGTGAAATATTATTACAGTTTAAAACAGCTGTTTTCTATGTGAATATCTGTTAAACTCAAATTTATTTCTGTGATCAAAGCTGTATTTTCAGCATCATTACTCCAGTCTTCAGTGTCACATGATCTTCAGAAATCATTCTAATATGCGGATTATCTTTTATGCTTTTGCTTTTTCCCAGGATTTTTTTTTTAAGTGACTAGGAAGTTTAAAAAGAACAGCATTTATTTGAAGTAGTAATGTTACAAAAATTTCTATCACTTTTGATCAATTTAATATGTCATTGCTGAATAAAATTATTAATTTATTAAAAAAAAAATGGTAGTGTATGCCAAAAATGACCTAAAATATTTAATAAACAAGAACGCATTGGCCGGGCCTTTGTATGCTTGTTTATTAAATATTTTGGCCAATTTGATGATGCATTATAATCAACTGCTGGCTAAAACATGCGTAATGCTCCAGTGTTTATATTCGACTGTTTCAGGGTGGAAATGGAGAGCAGGAGGAAGAAAGCAGCGAAGGAAAGCGCAGCGGTTCAGGTGAAAGATGAAGATCTGTATGGCGGCTCTACTGATGAGAACACGGATGCTGAGGAAGAGGAGGATAAACCCATCCCTGAACTACCAGGTCTGACGCCTCGCCACTTCATCCTGACTTGGACGTCTTGAGTATTACATTTAATAAATCATCTTAATTTTTCTCTCCTTCAGACTTCCTAACAGGAAAACGCTTCTATCTTTACGGCAAGTTCCCTGACAACCAGAAGAGGCAACTTCAACGCTACATCATCGCCTTCAACGGGTACGAGACAGACGTGCATTCAGATGAGCTCAAGAGCGTGAAGCGTTCATAATCCATTTGAAGCGCTTCAGAGGAATGGCGCTAGCGCTGACAGGCCTTCGAGAGGCTGTAGGTGGAGCGTGACCGATGCAATGATCTGATCTGTTTGATTCCTCAGAGCTGTCGAAGACTACATGAGCGAGAAGGTCCAGTTTGTCGTCACCAGCGAGGGATGGGACGAATCGTTTGAGGATGTGAGTATTGCGTCTTCTTTTTCAGCTTTGTAGGTGGTATATGTGACCCTGGAGCACCAAACCAGTCATAAGGGTCCATTTTTTGAAATTGAGATGTATACATCATCTGAAAGCTGAATAAATAATCTTTCCATTGATGTATGGTTTGTTAGGATAGGACAATATTTGAAAATCTGGAATCTGAGGGTGCAAAAAAATCTCGAGTATTTTGCAAAAACCATTCAAAACATCCCTACAGAGCGCACGCATACATTATGTGAAGTCTAGACTAGTGCGTGTGCGCATTTAGTGTGTTTTCTTTCACTGCATGATTCAGTCTATTATAATGCATTTAGAATGATCACAAATTCAAGACATGATGACAGAAAATGTATATATTTATACCACTTCATAGTTATTCAATTTCACACGAAGAGTGCCGTTTTTCTCCAAAAATTACCATGATTACAAATGTGACATTGAATTCAATAAACAATAAGTTAATTAAGAGACTTACGTTTTAGACACCATATTGCTTGTTTTTGC